TTGATTGGAATCCCTAAAGAGCCCTTTTCTAAAGCTTGCGACTATAACCGAATATTGTAGACCACAGCCAGCCTCTCCGCCCTAGAAGCATTTTTATCCCCGCTAACAGCCCGGACCAAAATCCCACCGAAAATCTTTTTACACTAATCAAAAGAAATTGGGACAAAGCAGGAAAACATCTTCCTATGGAACAAAAAATGGAATTGTTGCTTTATAATTACATAGACCAAACCGCCTTAGACACCTTGGTAGTCTTCGTGCCCTCTCACCTTACGGCAACTTTGAAAGCTAAAGGACAATCGACAGTGCTGATACGTTGTATCTGTTCCTACTTTCCATTATTTGGCCGTTTTATGACGTTCCCCTTCTCTGCTGGCAGTTACATTAGGCCTTGAATAGTTGACATGTCAAGGAGTCGTCTTTTGATTGGGTAGTTTTTCGTAAAATAAATTATTTCTTAGTCAATAAATAATCCCTTATAAATCAAACTGTGCCTTTTTTGAAGCTCGGTCGTATCTTTAACGCAGTATAACTTTCGTGGATGCGGGGTGGGCGTTTCGTGTGCTCCAGCGATCTAAGTTTACAGTTGGTGACCTTTCATCAGATAGGTCACGAACTGTATTTTACCGAAAATCATCAAAACAGAAAACGGCCTTATGACAGGTCAATTATCTAGGGCGGAAGAGAAGGCAAATAAGATACAAAGACAAGATAATGGGTAAAAAACAAATACAACGTGTTAGTACTATGTTGATTGTTCTTTTGCTTTTAAAATTGCAGTAATTCGAGAGTGCATAGAAACTACTTAGTTATCTATGATGGTTTGGCCTATACGATTAGTAGGCACATAGTTCAGCTTTTGCTGCATTGAGAGACGTTTTCTTGCCTTGTCGCAGTTTCGTTTGATTAGTGAAAAGAACTCTTCGATGAGATTAAGGACAGGACAACGGGCCGGGGGTCCAGTGGTTAGAGGCGTTGGACTTCTAACTAACAGATCGTGAGTTCAAGCCCCAGGTGTCCCACACTTCGTGGTTGGGTATGACTGGCTGATGACGGCTAATAAACCAAAAATGGCCACTTTAGTCTTCCTTGTCTTTGTCGGTACTGGCATGCTGCCTAAGGTCAGGGCTGTTGGAAGAAATAAATATGCCGATCACGAATTTCATGATCTAGGTCATTTACTGTGCATTTTACAGGTATGTTTGCCTGTGGCCCGCATGATTGCGAGCAGTCTTTATCCTTTGCCTATGTTTGCTGAACCAGGCCTAATTCGTTGGCTCTCAGTCCAAGAGTTCATTTTAAAATAAATGTATCTTTTTACATTTGCGCGTCCTTTAAGACAGTCCCAGAGAAGAGCCAGAATCCACGTGGCGGTCAGATTAGGGTTTTTAGAAACTTTTGTGGGTTCCTGCATTTGCCTATTGCGGAAGAAAAGTAGCGAGATGGAATTCGGCAGTTTAACTCCAGTCTTGTTACGGCTGAGTGGACTGCTGCTTCAGTTGTCGTCGAAATAAGAAGTTAAAACGCATTCAATCAAACTGCATACGGAGTATACTGTTGACTATTTTAAAATGCATGGTCGTCTTCAGTGGACATTTAGGCGTTCTGTGTATCTCACCGCCGTGACTCACTTACTTGTTTGCGCCAAGTTTAGCGCACTGGTTTAGTCAGAAGTCCAGTAACACAAGTCACTTGGAGGATTTGATCGTGTCTGTTTTGACATGACGCATACCTGCGGTGGAATCCCGTAATCGACCACTTCGCGTGCTTACTCTGGTAATACGCCTTCACATGTGGTTTACACCTTCCTTGAAAAAGTCGGGCCAAAATGCCGCCTAGGACCCAACCCATGTGCATTTACGCTTTCAACACTTATCTATGTAGCGCAGGTCATATAACTTAGGCGACTATAAACCTTGCTAACTGTATATCAGCACTTTGCATGGGTTGACTTGGTCGGAACATCTCCGAACTAATCCAGAGCTATCAGGCGGGCCCTGGTCGTTAGGTAAGTGGTGACAGTCTGCGAGGATTGGAGATATAAGTCCGCTGAGAGAATAGAGCCCAGGGACTCCTGTAACACAGGAAGGATGTTAATGTGAGTTCAGAAGACGAAGATGCGATCACTGGAACAAGAAATCGACTGGCCTGACGTTTCGGATTCTCACTCGAATCAATCATCAGAGACAGTCGCAGATAAGGGTAATGGTGGCACAATTAGTGCAGTATTTATAGCACGTGGCTGCCGTGGGACCATGTGCGTACTGTGATTAACTGCTCTCGCAATCACCGGTGGGGTTTGTAATTGATGCGATGTTGGCTTGTTAGTCCGCGTTCGAGTCGTTAATAGCAGTGATTTCGTCATCCGCGTTGGATGCTGGTGTGACGATTGCTCGGCAAATTGGCTCACTGTCACTGAGATAATTGCCCGCCCGCGCTCCCCCCCCACGTGACTGATTCCCTGCCCAGGGAAAATCTCAGCCCGGAATACGGTAACGGGAGGTCATTCCGCTTGTTGATGGATTGCGGGCCTGAGAACCATGATTCGAGCAGCTTGCGGCTCACGCGGTTGTCACCCCTTGCGAGGATTTCGGGCTATTGAAACTTGAAAATATGGCCGGGTCCCGTTTACTGAGCCACCACCTGAGAGCTGGCGTCTCCTTACCTCACTGCTGTTGCGTGCTCGGCAATTCGCGTTAATGTGAGTTTTACCAGTATGCAGGTGGGCGCGACAGTTAACGACATCTATGAAAGGAATTAGAAAAACTCGCATTTCTGTCGTATACTCGTTTTTTTTACTCCAAGGTACCAGAGTAAATTGCGCAATTTTAAATATGCAAATAAGGGCGGAAACAGTTGATCTAAAATTATGAAAGAAGGTAGGAATGGGTAAGACGGTATGCGGCAGGTAAACTTAACCTTAAACCTAACCCTAGTCCTAGCCTTTTTTCTAACCTTGACCGTAGACCTAACTTTAACTGTAGCCACAAACTTATTCACCTAAGCCTAGTCATAGACGTAATGCTAATATAATATGCCTACCTAATTCAAATAAGTAGGCAGGTTAGACCAATTAGCGTTAAGGGCTTATGCATTCGATCATCGCCCGGCGGCCCTTTCCGAGTTGAGCCAGCGGAGCGCTCGGGCCCGTCACTTCAACTACCACGTATGGTTTGGAAAGGCATTTGTCGCAGTGGTGACCTCAAAAAAGGCGATGCCATGGCCCCTGCACAGGCTGCGGCCAGAGTTAACTCTTTGACCGCCCTCTTCTCCCCACGTTCTGCACAGGATGATCCATTGGTGTATTCATGACTTGGGCCGACCGCCCATGGTCCCTCCCGCATCTAGCTACTTCTGCTGTTATTTCACTGTCACTATCTTTTTCAGTCACTTCTAAGCAGGAGTGCTGGTTTCCCAAAACGTACTGATCTGCGCAATAGTAATTTAGATAGTGTGCATGTCTGAGTTGACTTATTTACCTTCAGACAGGACCTTTGCGGATCTGAGGTTGTCGAATTGGTATGACCAACTAGAAAAAGATTCCCAAATCAGAAGCCAGGGTATGACGGATTTGGTTGGACAACCTTTACTGCTGAGAAAGTGCGTACACAGGGTTCTGCAAGTAGTCGCCGCTAGCGGTCTCTCCAGGCCAGTCTTTGTCTTTGACTGCGGTCGAGGTTATTAATTCCCAGCGCGTGTCTGCGCCTTTCGCTCTGCTCCAGTGGCCATTGGGCGTCCATCTTCTCTTCCCGATCGGAACCAGGCCTAAATGTCGTGGTAGTCAGGGTCCACTCTCGCAGCCTAGACTTTTGCGATAAGGTCAGTGTTTAATGAAAATGAGTCTACGAATGAGTCACTGGCTCTGGTGGCCGTAGAATGCGAGGTCTGCCCATGCATTCGAAAATGCATATGAGGAGACGATAGACCCACATCGGACTGTGCTGGGGATGCTCTAAAACAGAACAGGACTCAGACTGGGTTACGTCAAGCGTTTATAAGACAGCACAGAGTCCGCGGTAGCCCGCCGTAGACTAAGGTCTTCAAGCTCCGTCAATACCTGAGCAGAATCCAAACCACCTGTTGGCTGACAGACTCAGACAGTAGACTGGTGTGTATGTGAGTGGCGAAAGCGAGTGAGACCGACCCCCTGAGGAGTCTACTGCCATGGCAACTCAGTGCCGACTACGGTCGGATCGTCTCTGGGTGACTGGCTGAGTAGCCGGCTGAAAAGCGACATTTAGCCCTCCTGGATGCCAGATTCAATTTCAGTCGGAGGTCGGCAAAAACAATTCGTTCTGGACACCATATACTGAGTACTGCAGTGCGAAGAACGTAAGTCAGCTGGCCATAACCGCACAGCTTTTGACCATGCACCCCTCACTGTTATAGGTAAGATACCAGTGTCTCAACAGACCGATTTGCCACGGATCAGAGTGTTGCGACATAAAAGATTAACGGCTACGGAATTAAGTTGTCGTGTTTTCTTAATTTTCTTTTTTTCAATTGCTTTTTGTGTTGTTTGTGTCAGTCTTCTCCATTGCGGTATTGTTGGTGATTTTTGCTGGCAGTACTTACGATAACACTAGCATTGACGGTATGCGTACTGGTATTACTAAACTCTATGTTAAATGCGCCATAAATGATAGTAGTAGTAGTCTGCCCGTAAGACAGTTGGACAGGGGAATGAGTAGTCCTAAGGGTTGCGACACTGTATTCCCGCCGGATTTTGCCTGCACACCGAACTAACCATGACTTTGAAAGACCTAACCATTCAGCAAGGAGGAGAAGAGATTGCTGTTTGATTTTTTTATTTTTTTAGCAAAGGAGCCCTAGGGCCTGCTTCTCAGAGTTCATACTCCTTTTTTTTAATTGGAAGATTCAGTCAAAAGTGTTTTTATAAAAACCTAGAGTTACGCACCATCTCTAGGGGGAGATTCTGTTTGTGCAAAAATGTCATTAGTTCTCCACTCCACACTGTGGGCCAGATAGTTTCCCTGAAACTATTTCTGAGGTTCTGTTCGGAACAGTGCTGCTACGCTCTGACGACGAAGAGGGCTAATAGTCTCTCGCGCAGGTAGCACGATGTTTGCTGAGAAGGTGCTCTGGAAGGCCATATTTGCACCGTCAGTGGGAATGCAACGAAGCAGAGACTCCACCACCCAGGGCTCAGAGGCTGCCAGTTTCCGAAATGCTTCCAAGTCCAAGCTACCGCCCATCTGAATTCCGGCCTTCCGCGTGAGGAAGGCGATTGCATCGCGGACGGGTTGTTCAGGGTCTAGGTCTGCGTTAGTCGAAGCGAAGTCCGGGGGGAAAGAGTTCTGCAGCAAGACAGTGAACTCAATTGGTTGACGCAGGAGTCCATCACCGTCAATATCCATGGCGTAGAAGGCGAGATCGGCGCGTTCGGCGGTACTGCCCCTGAGTAGGGTGGAAATGAAAAGGACAAACTCGACGGCACCCACCGCCTTCACTCTGCCCCGATTACTGCCCGTGCGAAGTAACAGGGCGGCACGCGCAAGGCGCATTAATGTGAGACTATGCGAAATATCCAGAGTCAAGTAGAGAAATCGTTCCACTTCCGCGAGCTTTAGTGGACGCACTTCCTGGCGCGCGAGTCGAAAGTACATCTGGAAGAGAATGGCAAGTTCAGTGCTGCTGAAGTGTATCCGCGGGTCTTTGGCTGCCTCACTGACCAGGCCGAGTAGATGGTGACGCAACCGAGATGGAAATTTTAAATCCGCATGTTTGGCGTGGAGGTAACTCGTGTCTGTCTTTGCCCATACCGTCTTCATGAAGCCTGACAGATGCATGGTGTGACGTGCATTGAGGCGAGCCTTGGGATCTACTGTATAGACAGAGGGCAAGTGGAAGGTGACTTTGTTGTCCTTGGTTCTCAGAACAAGTGGCTCATGTTCCTGTAATTTTCCATGCTTCGTTGTCATCTTCAATGCCTTCTGACCTTTTGTCCTCCTGACAGATGTATTGATTTTTTCCGACTTTTAGTTCAACCAATGAAAGCTCGACAGCGTTTTGTGGATGTCACCTTAAAATTACGGACGCATCTAAAACGCTAATCCACTAGACTATAAACTGACAAAACTAAATTTGGACAGCCCTTAAGGTGAGAGCGAACGGAGGGGACATGCAAAGATGGTGTCCTGCTTATCATGATCCATTTCTAGAGTCGATTTATGCAGTGAAATGCGCGGCCTGCACAATGGAAGTGGTTCGTACATTGTCACAGGTATAAAGTAGAGAACCAAACGTACAAACTAACGGGTTTCAGGCAGACCATAAAACCGGCGCATAAACGGGAGGATAGGTGACGGGCATGTGATGTGACAAAAAACGGATAAACAGTTATTTTAGCTACGAGGAGAAGTACAGCTAGCTGTAGTACCTAGGTCTAACTTTCGACTCCAGCATGACGTGAACTTATATCTTTACAGTGAATGTGCCCCTCCCTAATCCCAATAATATAAAAGCGGTATGTGGATTGATGTAGACAGGAAATGTCAGGTTTAAAAAAACCTAGGTGGGCGGTAGAAATAAAAGTACCAGTCTTCCTTCAGGTTGGTTTAGTCATTTTTAGGCCAGTCAGGATTCCAATCGCCCAAAGAGGGTACATGAAATCTGCCCTTCCCCCTCTTGTCTGCAATTAGTGAGGGGAATTTCGGACGCCTTACTTGAGAAAATTATGGTCAGATCATCGTGAGTAACGAGATTCACTACTGCCGAACAAGATGGGCGAAGCCGTAGCTAGGGTGTTTATGGTAAGACAGACCAGTTCTACGTCAATCGCACTCTCGCCTGCCTCCCCCACTCCCCGGGTGTGCTTCAGTGGCAAGGCAAAGACGGCGTGGGCGTTGACTGACAAAGCTAAGAAACCCGGCTACGCGGGCCACGTGCTACCTTCCGCGACACTTTGGGAATGACTCGAATTTCACGGCGAGAATGCAATAAGTAGTTATTCCGAGTAGCCACACATGGCTTGCTCTCTGCTAAACACATGACAGGAAACAGCCAGGTGCTCTAGGCTCACACATAGACGAGGGTGCCATGAAGGCCACCTTAAGAGGGGACACTTGTAGAGTTACACTCACTTCCGAGAACCGAGATACCATGTCGATTGGCAGCCTTTCAATCACTAACTGTTAGGACTTGGTGACAGATTTAAGCGCCTCAGGTAAACTATACATTGGGCAGTGCGAGGATTTGTCGTGATGGTGGATTCCTCGGGGTTGCTCTCACTTCCTCTTTCCTCTCACATGCAAAAGTGGATTGCCTGAGTCACGACGACCGTAGTGAAATCGGATTAAGTGACTGATGGAAGCCCCTGTCCACGCCTGCCACACAGAATTTGACCTTCTGCTCCATCATCAATTTATATCATTCTCACGTTAGTGTGATGTGAATTCTTCGATATACGATGTTTCACCCGTCACAACGACGCTAGCAATGTGCATCGGATGATTGTCGCATGAGGGACATGCGACGTCCTGCTGATCGCTAGCGTGCGTGCACTCGAGCAGGCCCGTAGCAGTCCGCCTTCGCGGTCGCCAACACCCCCGCTCTAGTAGGAGGCCTTTCTGTCCACCTCACGCTCCCGGCCAATTCCCTGCTGCGGCCGGTTATGACTTGGCACTAGCCTGGCGAATGATGGAGGACAATCAGCGCTGCCTTCTTCGTTGATTGGCTGCAAATTGGCAAAGCCCAAACACAAACCTGCACCTCGTGCTGGAGGCTAAGAATCCCAACGACAAACACGCCTGAGGTGACGACTGCTGAGCCGACTGTGCATCCTTTCGCTTCAATAAAACTTGTCCAACATAATCGCTCTTACCTGACTTAGGATTTGAAAATCTGGCAACGGTAGGGCGTAGGACCCACAACTAACTTGAGCCAGACCGTGGACCGTGTCATACGATGAATGGTGGTAGAGGGGGTTTTACGGGTGGGGAAACACACAGGACGAAGAGCAAGAAGACACTGAAAGTAGATAAATTTCTGCCAAAAGTCTTGTCGTACGCTGTCATTTGGCAAAGAAAGTAAGTGCGATAATTAAAAATAACCAGAAAGCAATTGTCGAAAAATAAAGGACTTCGAATAAAGCGCTGCTGGCAAGTCTACATTTAATCATGAAGAGAAGGAAATTTCAAGTAATGCGAACAGGAAATAATAAGTGATATTTACAGTCACACTGGATTTTTTTGGCATATTTTTGTAGTTGTCATCTGCTCGTGGGTCCTATACCCTATCATTAGCGGCTGCAGTATCTTGTCGAAATTGTGTACTGGGGGAGAACCAGACACGGTAGTTGGCGTTTCAGATTAACGCCTAAATTTATAATCATTGGCAATCTCAGAATTATCGCACTAAATGAATGCGCTAACTCATGAAATGCTAACCGAAATTCTGAAATGCGATTCTGATTTGAAAACATTACTTAACTAGATTTGTAATATTAGTTACCATGCAGCATAATCCCAAGATATTTCAGTTATTTCGGGATGTCGGCTTTTGAAGGAACTTGTTTTCGGCAGGTTGGGTTCAAAATTATTCGGGCATTGGGAAAGTTTTTGAAAACCGAAGACTGAATTGTACCCTTTCGTCAATTTTAACATTTAAAGAAGACGTAATTTTCTACCAAATGAGTGGAAGAATGAATATTTTTATGCATATTGTCTAGAAAATTCGTTTGAATTTCCAAGAGGACCGAAAATCAATGATACAAAATCATACTACTTAGGTAACAGTCAGCAAAATCTCTCTTCCCTGACTTAAGAGTGCGGGACCGCTGTGTTGTCAGCCGTCATATTTCGACAGGCCCAAACGGTGTTTGGAATTACGGACAGTGTGGGACGAAACGGTTTGCGGAGCGTATTTGAATCGGGACCCAAAGGACTGATTCTGCGGCCATTTAAGTTGGAGTGAGATCCTGTGGCATGCGCCAAAGATTCATCGTAGCACTCGCTTGACGCCATCGTATCCGTGCTACTGGCCAGTCCAGATTATGAGCAAGCAGAGGCAGAGGAGTGACCTTCTGTTGTGTGGCAGCTTCACATGTGCAATTGCTCATGAAAACGAGGTCGTGGACACTGGTCCAAGATACTTTCGCTTTCGTCCGCATACGACGGATTTTGTGCAGATGACCGTCGGTTCGGTAGTCCATATCGACTTCAGTCTATTGTGGAATTTTCCAATCAGCATGGCGTTGAAGAGGGTGAAGGGCGAGTGCCAACCCTGAGTCACCCCATCTGCAACCGCGAAAGTTTCGCAGACTAAACCTCCTGTTCATGACGGATATCATTATTTCCTTGTGTATTGTTATCCGCGTAAGTCGCTCCGGCCGCCCGGACTTCAGCGGGACTTTCCAGAGTCCATTGCGATTTACAGTGTTGAAGGCCACTGCCAGATCAACAAAGGGGATTGTAGGGGCTGGTTTGCATTTCTTGACACTTTTGATATTGTTTTCGTGTCACAAATATCCCAATGACTGTTTCCCTGTCTTTTCGATATTAGCCCGTTGCTTCTGGAAGTGGCTTCCTCTTCGGATACTTGTTCAGGTGATTAAGTAACATGTAGGCACCACTCGCACTTTTGAAAAGAAGTATCCCGCATGGGTGTCCCAGAAGTGTCAGGTGCTTTTGAGTTTGTAGGATCTCTCCTTGTTTCCACGTTTCCTTAAACTGTGCGGTACATTTCTCTGGGAAGTGTGAATGGATTACTGGATCAGTGATCCACTGTGATCCGACGAGCCCTTCATATGTCTCAGATTATTGACCCGGATCTCTTATGCTTGCTAGCGTAAGTTTCTCTGTGAGTTAATAACCGGTGTATTCGTAAATGTCAGCTTAAACTGACTCGGCTTCCAGTGGAACTCCACCGGACACATTTTGCGCTTTTTGATTTTTCCTACAGAGGAGGCGGCTGTTGAGGCGGCCTACTCGGCATGACGACAGCGGCCAGCCCTCGCCTTGCCGGATGAATTTTTGCGTCGCGTGTTACTCAACCTTTGACTTGGCAACACCGTTACAGCGGTTACTACTTTGCTCTTCACCGATTGGCCGCAGCTAGACGTGGCTCGGGAGAAGCTCACTTCTCGCGCTGTCGGGCAGGGCAGCAACAGCTGGTTCTTCGTTTGGTTGGCCAGTTGCCGCCATTTGTTTGCTGCACTGCTGCTGTCGCCTCCTACCACATCTGCCCTTTTGACTTTTGATTTGTGAAACGTCTCATCGTCGGGCCAATCGCATCACTACACAACCACCCCACCTGTCCGCATTTCTGTCTCTCCACGGTCGGCCACAGTCATACTCCTCCCTCTGGAGGCATGGAGCGGCCGTCCTCTTTTAGACAATCAGACGACCAGAAAGGGAGTTCCGTTTGCGTACAGACGGGCGCGATACAAGGTGGCCATTGAGCCACACTGTGAAACCCATTTCTTCGACCTAGCACAGGTGAATAGAGTCGAAAGACAAGGCGGGGAGACGCTGGTGTCTAGTTTACTATGCCCCCAGCACAAAAATCAGCTAGAATCCCGATACCATGTTTTGCCCATCTTGTGTACTACGGCATGCCGCAACTAGAGGAGGTCTGACTAATCAACTGATCGTCCAGCTTTTCCCATGTCTTTGTCTGTAGTTAAACTTTTAACGTCTGTAGAAAATAATACCGGGGCTTGGTCATTCGGGAGTCTCAGATTTTGTAAATTTTAACAATTTGCCTTGAAAGATGCGTAAAAAGTCGTCGTAGTAGGCAAAGTATGCTCTTCATTTATTTTGCCAGTGGAACGCTAGACACATTTTGATGTATCAGTTGTCTCAGAATGGCGTGGATGCTGAGGATTTCTGTCCTTTCCAGTACATCTGTGTCCGAAATCCGGTCCTGACAGCTCAGCCCTAGTATCTGTCGTAGACAACTGATATGAGGGTGGTAAAGTTTTCGCTCCGGTTCGAGTACACTGCTCCATACCGCAGTGTTGGCAAAATGACAATTTTGTGCATCTTGAATTGAGGTGGAGACCGTGCCGATTCCAGACGGCGTTTTCCAAACGACAAAGGGCTTGGCTGGCCTTGGAAATCGAGCGGGCCACTTCATGGTCGATTTTGGTGCTCCGAGAGAGGGTGCTGCTCAGATACGAGAAGTTGTCCACGGCTTGCAGTTGGGCGCCGTTCACGTTGATGCGGGGTAGATTGTAAGCGATGATGGGTGGCGGTTGGTGCATGACCACCGTTTTCTCCGTGTTGATGATCAGACCAAAATTGTCGCGGACTGCGGCGAAGAGGTCTATGCTCCATTGCATTTCCCCTTCAGTAGCTACGTTGAGAGCACAGTCGTCTGCGAAGAGAAGTTCGTGGAATGTAGTTGTGGATACACGCGACGGGAAGAGCATCCGCTAATGATTAAGGCGTCGGCCGTCCGTTCCGTAGGCGACGCGGATCCCGGGGCGTTCGTCACGGTAGGCGTCCATCAGCATGGCAGCGAACATGAGACTGATAAAGGGTAGGCGCGAGGACGCGGTCATTGCGAATGTCTCTGAGACAGCCTTATTGTCCGTGACGCGCGCCTTCATGCCATCGTGGGGCTGGCGCACCATCTCAATGAATCGTTCGGGACAGCCGAATTTCTGCGTGGTTCTCCGCAGTCCTTCGTGATTCTCCGTGTCGAAGGTTTTCAGCAGATCCATAAAGGTAGAGTGAAGGTGGAGTTGAATCTTCTGACACTTCTCCTGCAGTTGGCAGGCAACGAAGATCATGTCGGTAGTGTCTCGATGATGGCGGAAGCCATATTGGCTTTCCGACGGAAGACCCTGTTACAGATGGTTGTTCAGACGGTTGAGAAGAATGCGAGCGAATAGTTTCCCGGCGATTTCAAGGAGGGAGATTCCTCGGTGGTTGTCGCAGATTTGGCGGTTCCCTTTCTGCCCGCAGAGGTGCACGACTATAGCGTCCTTGAAATCATGCGGGACTTCTCCTTGACGCCAAATCTCCTGGAAGAACGCCGTCAGATGATCTATGAGTTTGGGGCCACCGTTCTTGCAGATCTCCGTAGGGATCGCGTCTGCTACAGGCGATTTCCCGCTAGAGGGTTCCTGCACGGCCCTGATGGTTTCCTGGAGGGTGGGCGCAAGGTCGAGGTCAGCGTTGGTCTCCACTTGCGGCAGACGGGCGATAGCGGCGTCGGAGATGATGGGGGGACGTTTGAGAAAGCTTTTGAAGTGCTCGGCCCATTGCTGAAGACTTTATGTCTTCTCGATGATAAGGATACTGTCGTCGACGCTGAGATGAGCGGCTGGTTTGGCTGTAGGACAGCGGACAGCGGCGAAATTCTTCTGTTCGTTGCGGTCCTCGACCTTGCGAGCCGTGCGGACCTCCCGCATCTCTTGCAGCCGATGTCGCACAAGGCGGAAACTTCGGTAGTAAGCTGATTCGTGGCCGTTGGTTGGGCTGTTGATGTAGGCTATGTGCAGGCGGTTCCTCTCGGCGAGTAGGTTGCTGGTGGCGGCGTCATTGTCGTCGAACCGGTCCTGATTTTGGCGATGTGGACGATCGAGGACAGCCGGGGCGGTTGGCTGAACCGTGTCCCCAATTTGACACCATCGGTTCTCCATGTAGGCGTTCTTGCTGGCGTCCGTGACGACTGGAGGGCTGGCTAGATGTTGAGCTAGTTCACTGCCGAAATGGTGACGGTGGGCAGGTAAAGACAGGAAAGCGACATTCAGTTTATTTGGTGGTCGCATACCTTGAAATTACCTGCGTGGCTGTAGGCGGATCCACGTCTTGGAGATGACGAAGCGATGGTCGGTTCACCCGTCGGCACCTGGGATCGCCTTTGTCACCAGCACGTCCTGCTGGTTTCGCCTCCGGACGAGGACATAGTCCAACAGGTGCCACTGACGCGACCGAGGATGCATCCGGAGGCCTTCTCTCACGTCGGAAGGCGGAAGGAGGTGTTGGTCAGGATGAGACGGTGTTCTGCGCAGGTTCGTAGGAGGAACAGACCATCGTTGATGACCTGCGGCAGACAGGGCAGTCGTCCCACGATGTCGTTCCGGATGGCAAATGCGACGCCCGGGTCCAGCCTCTTTCTATTGGGCAACCGATCCAGAAGTAGTTGTGGCCGGAACTCACCTCCGCCAGTTGGCTCTGTTCACAGAACAGGGTCTCACTGAGTGCAGCAATGTCTGCCTTTTGGCGCGCCAGTTCACGAGCGACTACAGCCATCCTCCATACCGGTTGTTTGCTCTTGGGAGTGTCTAAAAGGGAACGAGCATTCTGTGGGGTGGGGCGGCGCGGAGGAAGATGAGAGAGAGTGCTGCTTCGTATTTGGTGGTCCCGGCTGTGTGTTTTGCATTTGCGAGCCACGGTATATGAGCAGAGGACGTGAAACCAGCATTGGTTCTGGACGCCTATACTAGCTCCACCCCCCTCCTGCGGGGGTAAGCACTGCTGTCCCTAAATAAGACTGCATAGACACCCCAGACGGCTGCCGGACTTTACCATGGGCCACAACTTTGTTCATTGGGCCGTTTGCGTGATCAAATGTCGCCCTATCCCTAAGACCTTTTGAATTTGGGAGTGAGAGAAGGGTGGAGAGACTGGAAACGACGTTCTTCTTCCATCTGTGAGTTAACTGGTTGCCTAAATATAGACGGTGAGCAGACAAATTCAACAGAACGGTCTTCATCAGGACGGCAATTAGCTTACATGGTGGTCATTTACCTTGTGGACTCCCGTAGGGCTGCAGACGAAAGGTGTAGATTAGAGAAGAGAGTAAATAGAGCGAGGGAGTAGAAAGCTGCCGGTCTTACAGCCACTGGTGGGATAGCTTGCTGAAATGTAAGTAAAGGAATCAAGCGAATCAAGCGATATTTGGCTCACCTGGGGGGTCACATAACTTGGGGCCTCCTGCGGAAATGGCGATACGATGATCTGTGCGACCAGCAGCGGTGGATGGGGAGAGGCACACACGAATACACCAACGGATTTAGCCTGACGGTCGAGAGGGCTAATGGAGTGTGGCCGTTAGACAGTGCCTAGCTTCGGGGAACCAAGTGTAAGAGTTGGGTTTCAGTTAATGTACGCTAGGCTTAATCAACGTCGGCAAGCATGTGACCGACCTACTACAATCATCATGTAGACTCACAGCTGGACACCCCTACAACACACACACGAGAGTTCGATCGCCTATTTCGATGCTGTCCACCATATGCTCCACAGCAGGGTTAGAGCAGGGACGGTGACTTGCGCGTGATTTATAGTGAGAGTAGACTTGCGCTGCGTCTACCACGCTCTCACCCCCTCCCCCACCTGGGTCCGGTCTCAAGACAGAGTCAAGAAGACCGGAGACGGGGGAGGGCGCATGTGGATGGCACGGTCGAGCCCACACCTTGGTGTTCCACTAACCTCCTGATTCACACAACAAATAACCAGGTTTTGGCCAACAACAACAGGGATTGGAGACTGGCACGGTCGAAGCCGCACCTAGGCGTGCCGCACACACCCGGCTCGGACCCCAGACATTGGGAGTGCCGTAAAGGCCACATTAAGAAGGACCCGTTGCAGCCGAACTCTTAGACCACCAGCCAGCCACTCCAAACAAACACGCACAACACTGGGCCGACTGCGGTGTCCAAGTTATCCCGCCAGTTGGCAACCTTCCAAGTCACGGTTTTTAGCGCACCGTGATAGCTTCAAGCGCGTCAGATTGTTTATAGTAAGGAAAATGCACTGAGTCGTCGACCTCACTCGCCCTTCCCATTCCCACACCGCAGCCACTATCCGAGCCGCTCAGCTGACTGCAGCGGGGAATGGGTGCGCTGGCTGACATAGTCTAGTGATCTTGTCTGCCTGCGCGCGCCACATGCACGACCTGGCTCCCAGACATACATACACCAGGATTTCACAGTACGGGGGTTAAGCGGTGCACTCGGACATGCGTGAAAGTGACGTTGGTCACGTTAAGAAGGAGCCGCATCATCCTGGATCTCAGCCCACCAGTCTGCCACTCACACAACTGGGCAGACAGAGTGGACTGAGTTGGGGATTCAGTCAGCAGCCTTCCAAGCCACAGCGCTTGCTGTGCCGTGATAGCCTCAGACTCGACTCACACACGCAGCAAAGGAGCCTCATGGAGAAGGATCCGAGAAGCGCCCTACCCACTTGCGCGGGAGGTGAGAATTAGGTGCTTGTGATGAGTGATGGTGTTGTGTGGTGCGGGTGCTGGTGGGGAGAGATGTGATGGTGTGGCATGCCTGGAGGTTGTCTACCACAGGTTTTCTTGAATGCGCATGCGGCCTATTAGGCTCATGTGTTAAATGAAGGTGGATGGGCAGTGCGGACCGTCGAGGCAGATGCGGTGAGTGTGTGTTGGTGCTCCAGGCGCTGGTTTGCCAGCCTCCCTGCGGTGGGTCCGCAAGCGACTGACAAGGCCGATGCGTAAGATGGATGTGCGATGGAAGTGTGGGCAGGACATGTCGCGAACTGCAGAGTCGGTTGTGTTGATGGTGATGCTACTATGGGCAGTGGTATTTTTGAGGCTGCTGCTACGGCGATGGGTTGGCGTGGCAAAGATTAGATATTCTGACGCCTTTGGGAACGGTAAATAGTTGAAATGGGGTTGAGCAGCGTGCTGCAGAATAGGGGAGGCTTGGCCATCATTGCAAATAACTTTGCGCTTAGATCGAGTGGCCAAGTCTAGCTTTATCACTAACAACTAATTCAGACCCCATTTGGCATTACTGTGGTAATCCTTGAGGCAAATTTTGAAAAGGTATTCCAAACTACCTTAGCTAATTAAGTAGCAAGGTAATCCACGGATTTCCCAGAGAGAATGGTAACCAGCCATCTCAGCCAGAATACACGCGACGCATTATGCCAACATCGTTACGATATTTGGTTTAGTCTGATTAGTTTGCAGTGGGTATCCAACACGTGTATGAAGTTTGCGTATGGTGTTCATTAAGCCACTTCATCACTGTGCCCCGTTTAATAAAAAGTCTGTGGCGCTGGGCCTTGCCACTGACGTGGGGTCAGGAAGGAGCGAATGATACCAGGTCATCTCGAAAATCTGCGCGTTACTTCCTTGGCATAATCCGTCGAACACGCTTTAATCTAACAGGACACACCAACAGCCGTGGTCTTGTTGATCGCTAGTGGATGGGTGAGCAAGAATTCCTTCCGAAACGAATGTCAGCCTATTACAACTTCATTCTATTAATGCGGTCTTTCGAGCACATACCCCTCTGGACAAATTACAAACACTCTTTTAGAAAAGATTCGTGTGGAACGGAGACTTGTATGTATGCGGCCCGCATGAACTAAGACTTTTTGCTGCGCAAGTGCTGCGTGAATGCTCATCAACAGAGCACGATGGGCGTGGGAGCAGTGAATGCTACGGATGCTATACGGACCTGCTTCACGTGAAATAGATTACTGTGCCGAAGGCACAGTAACAGATATCATTGATTTGTTGTTTTTACTTGTCAGGTATTTATGCGGGGGCATACTTGTAGGCCTTAGCGAAACTCAGCCTCCTGACCGGCAAGGCATGATTTATCCAATCACCGCATCGGACAACTGCTGCACTGGAGAATCCATTCGATCGTTTATTGATTTTCTATAGCTAACAATGGTCCCCAATCTCTTATGGTCTCACCGCTCTCCTGGCCCTTACTGGTTGGCGCAGACCCCTGATAAATGCCAAAGCACATTCTCTACCATAAGTTCCCTTAGGCCCTTCAGTACGGAGTAAAACCCTTCTCCTTCTGTCATTCGCCTGATTTTTCCCCGTAGAATCTGAATGTAGGTTTCACCGGGTTGCGGCCCCTATAATTGATCCCTACGAAGACATCACTGCGCATTCGACATTGCATTACATGCAAATAACTGAAGGCAGATGATTGGTTGCAGGCCACTGCATCGGGGACCAGGTGACGTTCTACAGGAGGAGTCTGTGTGATGAAGTTTAGTAACCCTGAGATGGCTCGAGCTCCGAATCAGATAATGTGACCGGTGTAATAGTGGCTGATGTCCAAAGCCTTTACGGGCTGAAGTAGACTTTCAACCCTCCCTTCAGCGAGCACCTCGGATCACCGGTCGACTCCACCAGTATCCATCCCTCCCTTTGAATGCTGCTGTCATTCAAGAATTCCCATCGTCCTTCCCACTGACAGTGGTTTCTGGGACATGGGGGTAGGGATCAGATCATCTCCAAGAACTACAGGCCCCTCTCCTTTAGTTGACAGTCGCAACCAGACAATCGAAACGCAAGGGAGATTCCCCAACTGACTCAGTGCCTCAGTCCACGTCCGATATTCGTCACGTATATGAATTGCAGAATGAAATGGATGACAAGCTGTCCAGACAATCAGCTGGTCATAGTGACCGATGTCACTGAAATGGCTTACCGGTTCCATCTTTGACATGCACGTCTACACACCCAAACTGTATAACCTCCATCTGCCTACTACTACTACTACTACTACTACTACTACTACTAGCAGCAACATCCGCAGTGACGTGCCCGCCACCTCCCAGCGTCCGTCGTGCTACCATCCGTACACCGAAGCACCTTCTGCCTCCTGCATTATCAATCAGAACCTTGAAGTCCAGCGACGATCGAATTGGTCTCCGAATGCCTCGCCTGATCTGTCTTGTACGAGAGCCTGAAGCTTTCGGCACGGGCCTGCCTCGACTCTCGTCGGAGCAAGGTCTGTCGACACGGCAAAGCTCCGTCTTCATTTTCTTCTAACCTGCTGTTTGGTTCAACCACGTCCCCCACGATGTTACAGACCTCCACTTTTCTTTGATAGCTGTTAATAACTTTTCACCTGTGTGGACAAATTCATCCATTGATCGAAGATATTCCACTGCCGAATGTCGAAACCAGAACGGTGACCAAGACATTTCTCAGTACCATCGTTGCTGCCACTTTACCGTAACTACTGATCACTATACGCAATTTGAGACGCGCCCCTTCCGATCTCGCCTCCTTTTCAGGCTTTAACGAAGTCTATGACCCAACTGCGAAAGCAGTGGTCGAGGAGTTTTATCGCCACCCAAATACCCCCTTACACGCCACAGGGTGTCCAGAGAAGTGGATTGAGCACCATCCAGCGGTACTGTTTAACATTCATTCGGACCTTGAATTCTCTGCCACCTACTTGGTGCTGGGTGCCATTTTCAGACTCCGAGCTGAGGTGCTCTCCCCAGTCCCTCGCAGTGTAAGGGAGGACCCAACCAATCACATTCGCTACCTCCCAGTTTGTGCGAACGCTCTCTCCGGTTAGGCCAAGACGAATTACCTCCAAATGTTATCTAGAAAATCGGCTTAGCGACAAGCCCCACCTTTATTTAAAAACCGCTGTCCCAGATACAGTTCCCCCCTCTGCGTCTTCTGTCACTCAAAACCCCAACTTTTGATTGCGTCCCCGTTTCTCTCTCCCTCTTCTTACTTAAACTACCACACCCAACACATATTTGAGAGCCAACCCGGACCATTATCCCCATATTTACTTGAATACACAGTCCGCTAGGACAAACATTCACTCACAAACGCAATATCCACGGTGGAGTAGGGATCTAGGAGTACGCCGAACATACGGCCCATAAGAATACGGATGATACACCAGACAAAAAAGACTGACTGCTTAACTAGAACTCATATTAAACACATGGAGCAAACATGGATCGTGTACAGGCATTGACAGGACAGAATGCAGATGAAATTATTCGAATTTCTGAGGAACATGGGAGAAGAATAAGAAGACGAGAATATGGCTGATGATCAAGATGGAAGAATGCCTGTTGTTCGAGAGTTCGTAGTAAATGCACGTAACAAGCATGAATCAGATACAGGCGATGGCAGCGCAGCATGCAGATGAAATTATCCAGATTTTAGAGAAAAGAGAAAAAGAGAATAAGGAGATAGTGAGGGATTTACAACAATGCAAGCTGGAAGAGATTGCAGTGAGACAGAAGTCTCCTGAATTCCTGCCGCTCACTTCACATTCGGCAACTTGTGCAGATACATCAGCAGGGCGTGAAGTAGAGTGCAGCAGTGTGCATGGACTGTTCGCTAATGATTCGGTCTACACATCATCTAGTGCGAGGGAGGTGAGTTGGAGGGAGGTCGACGAAGTTGAGAGGTGACCTGCAGTGATGGAAACCGCCACGGGACAGCGATGAGTGGAAAGACGGGCGGGTCATGAGAGAGCAAGTGCGTCTAACCTGAGGCACGTCGTTTGTGGGAAAACAAGGCTAGACGGACTGCTGTACCGAGAGACAGGCTGAGATCTTGACCGGCGTATCGACGGAGAGCTGAACGCCTTCAGTAATCCGAGGGATCTGCCACGGGATTCATCATGCCTACTAATGGATGCAACATAAGGCTGATAGAAAGCAGGTGGAGTGAATTAATGAATGAGCCACTGACAGCAACTGGTGATTGTTCAGTCGGCATTTTGGAGCTGCCTGGGCTGTTGCATGACAAATTTCCTGCCTCCAAAGTCGTACTCGGGGATTACTGTCGACAGGAAGCAGGTCTACTGGTGACGGCTCCTCTCACTTGCATGCATGGAAGTTCGGTTATGTGGATGCACCCACTGTCAACCACTCCGAATATCACCTACACACTCGAGATTTGAGTGGATCAGATGTGACGCACTGATGTCAATGGCTGGCGCAGTTACTATATTCTGACATCAAAACTATTCTACTTTTCATTCAAAAACAGATAAGTGGACATGGGCTAAACTTTCGAAGGCGGGTAGGTTAAATTTAGCGGCTAGACTAATGCATACACCGCAAAGAGAAATCCAGTTTTCATGAAGATTTTCCCGGTTCCTGTGAATTTCCAAGTTATCCCAATCTAGAGCAACGTCTTAATCGCCCAAACAGACAAATGCGTCTGTCATATTTCGGAAATCTGGACTCCTTCTATACGTAGCCATCACATTTTTTGCCTTTTCGCCTTTTACGCATATGTATCTTCGGCAAATGTTCTCCTGTCTTCACAGGTTAATAAACCTGTTCGCAACACGCTCTCCTATTCAAAGTCAGACCATTGTCAATCCCTTTCAAGTCCCATTCCATTTACGAGTACTGAAATCCGTCAAAAACAACATCTACTCTATACCTCACGTTATCACGACTGTCCATCTTGTCCACCGAGTGGCAAGGTCACCCATTCAGCGGGACCACTGACGTCGGCCGGGACACGGATTTCACAGAGCCCTCCTCGGATGACGATCTGTGTGGAGGAATCGCCTGATGCCCTGAATTCACCCCGAGGCAATATTGACGAAATTCCCTACACACCAATTAACAGACTCAGTCCTATCTACCAGTTGGAGCTATCAATTCAAAACTAGACGTTCACGGAGCTAAAGATCTCGACTAGACCGCTCCATTGTCAAGCCTAAGAGACCTACAAACAGACGCAAAGAGTTCTCGAGGTGCATATGGCCGATACTAGTATTCGAACAGTTCTCCGTAACTTCGTGCGTTGTATTCGTCCTCTCAGGCAGTAAGGACGCAAACCAGGCATAGCCTACTAAACTTGGTCTAGAAATTAAACGGCAGGCAGTTCCGTAGAAACGAGTAAGTCTTCCTGCAGTATTTGTTAACCAGGCTTTCTTCGTCAGTGTCTATCTAGTAGCTGTATCCGGTTGGATTACAGCAAGTGCATTCTAACACAAGCTACCCAGACTTTGCGAGTTCGATTGACTCTTAAAAGGCCCCTAATTCCAATCCACTGTATATTCATATGCAGTGCAATACAAACATGCAGAAATGCACTCTCCCCATTCATTCCCACAACCACCAGAATCTCATTTGGTCTGCCATTGACTTCCGTTTACTGCCCAAAGAACCTCGCCTATTCCCTCTCATCTGCAGACAAATTACTAAATCAGAACCCGAATTTCGGCTACTATTTAGAATTATTCTAATCCATCTGCTAATTGCTCACTTCAACCGCCGTAATATGCTGGCCAGTCAAATCTCGAGATCGATCGAACGTCAACTGACATAGAGACGGCGTCTCTGCTCACATTATCCTCGTCATATGCATGCACGTGCAAGCAAGAGAAGTGCTCACCGGAAGTCCAACTTACAATTCATTCGACCCAAGCTGGCTCTGAAAGCAGGAAATCTCTCATCCAGCAGATTCGTGCACTTCTTCAGACCCGTCTCCGATGGCGATTCAACAACCACCAATTGCTGCCATTGACCGAGCCCATTTCTCCGTTTGATTTCACTCAACGTTATGCGGCATCCACTGACACGCGCAATTGACTCTATGCGACGATCCTTCGGATTCTTGAAGACCTTCAGATTGTCCGTCCCACAACCAATCCAAAACTTATTCTCATACGGTAGAACAGCCGACTTAGCTTCGCCTTCACTGCAAACGACTGACTTCGGTGTAGAGCATCCTACTCTCTCACGAACTACCGGCATTTCCCTCGATGGCTGTGCACTGGAGGCCTCCATCAATTCCATGGTCTTCTCAAGTTCCTCGAATTCTCTCAAACTGGCCTGACTGTCGCTCAGACGTGAGTAGGTCGAATAATTAGCAAACAGCCCATCCGCACTGTCCTGCTCTACTTCACGTTCTCCTGCTGCATCTGTCAAAGTTGCCGAATGTGAAGCAGGCAGCAGGATTTCAGGAGACTGCTGCCTCACTTCAGTGCCCTCAAGCTTGTATTGTTGCAAATCATTGCACATCTCGCTACCCTCTTTCACATCTTTCTCTAAAATCTGAATAATTTCATCCAGCAGTGCACACACATTGTCTGTACGCGACAGTCTGCCGCTGACTGCCTCCGCCGGTGCCTCATCAGTCCCGCAGCCCACGGCCGCTGTTGTCCTGCCTTCATTCCAACTGTCATGGCAGATGGCAGTGGAAGGGTTTGTCGCTTGAATGGCCACGTCAACTGTCAGACTGTGTTCTGGCGGTTCAAGCAACCACCGAATTGGCCGGACCGCTGTCTGCACCGAGGCCTCACAACGAAAGGAATACACGGAGTTGGTATTGGAGTTGGCGAATTGGGCGTCGACAAAAGCATTTCCACGTCCTCGTGTGCGCTCCACTTTGAAGAGCTGGACAGATGGTCGTGAGTACTGCTGACCCATTTCTCACTGGCAGTCGTCTGTCAGCAGGTTCGCGCGTATGGACAGGCGAGGCGGAAGGCCGGCGGACGCAGATTGAATTTGTATGAGTGGTGAATCATCGATCGGTGGCGTGGTGTGGCGTGGCGTGGCGTTGTCTATCGACCACACCCCTGGAAGTAATTAACGTCCAGAAATGGAGACATTGGTGCCGCTTCACCTTCTACCTCAAAATTCGCAGTCAGCGTACAAGCCGATGGTGGAACGGTCCTCACCTGAGTATGCGTATTTCGGCCGTCAGGATGGCGACCTGAATGCTTTATGCATAGGTGCTCATGTAATGAGATAGAAGGGCTGTTTACTTTTTTTAGGTAACAATCAGGAAATGGCACCCAAAAAAATCCGCCTAACCAAAGCAGCCTGTCTTACGGGATAGGTGGTAATAGGAGTTTTATGGGTGATGGCTGGTGGCTGGTGGGAATGTACGATACTAGCTGACAGAAAGCATTAGTAAAACAGGTGAATTACCGAAGTTGGCCCGCTGTCCGTTCCGTTATTACAAAATGGGTTGCCAAAGACAGTATAGTAGTAACGGACGAGTGGAAAGCGTATAATCGACTTCCCTCAGAAAGTTATCTACATTTCTCTGTTAACCACTCAAAGAACTTCAAGGATCCTACCACCGGACGGCCCACCAATGCCATTGAGGCATACTGGAGTAGACTGAAAAGGAAACTCCACGAGGGAGTCCCTGTATGTGGTCGAGCTGTGTGGATCCACATAGACGAAGTGCAGTATCGTCTTTGGTTTGGCCTCAATGCCATGTCTTTGACAAATGCCTGGGAACTGTTCCTGTCCCATGCTGTGCAGACTTATCCTATTTAAGAATGATTTTGTTTTGTAATAAACTGCCATAATGCGAATGTATGCCCTATATTCAGATGTATGTGCGTAACGATGGGGAAGGTTGGGCAATCGCGACCATCGTCCTTGTAACCCCCTGCAATGTTCGTTCGGCCAGCCCATGTTAGGCCGTCGCGAAAGTCCAGGTAGTGCGTGAAAGTAGGCCTGCAACCTCTGATATAGCCTGAAAACGTTTGAGTTCACTGTTAGAAGTATTATTTCTAGGTGACGGATTTTTTTGGGTGCCATCTCCCGATTGTTACCTTTTATATATAGCAAATAGGAATTGCCGCAAGCATGTGCACATCTTAAGCACCTGAATTCCAAATGCCCCCTTCGATGTAACCCAGGGCAGTAAACGTAATTCAAAGTGCTCCATTATCAAAAAATAAGGCGTCATTTCTATCAGTTGGTCAAGTGAATGGAGTTCGCTTAATGTTCTAGGCGGTGTTTTGGAGTTAGTCAAAACTGAAGTCTGAAATTAGGGTAAATTGTCCAGCTGAGTGAATGAATAAGGTCTACTATATGCTTATGCAGTGGAGTACTTGATGACGCATTTCAACTGCGTCCCCTACCTGTGCTGATAGCATCCTCCCACTGACTAGTATATAGCCTGATCTCAAGCCTTCCTTCCAGCTTTTGCTCAAACAAACGCCTCATTTGAGCTGTTAAATGCTCCCCCCCCGGACCCACCTTAACATAGACGCGCACCTTTGCCAGTTAGACGGTGCATCCAATATTGCTAATGACGTCGTGTTTCAGTAAATATTCCACCGACTCAACCTTACATTTGGCCTACTTCTCAGGGAAATCGCCTTCGTTGTAGCTTGCTAAAACTCTTCGGTTGTCAGCTTATTACAGTCAGTCTTACCGTCAAAACACCTAGCCCACCGAGAAGTCACTATCCTCACTGTCTATAGGCAGCTCATGTTGACCTTATGCCCAGACTCCGAGCAGCTTATTCGTCCGCGGATCTGTCATCTAGACTACCTCCCTCATCTGTGCCTTGTATGCATTTATCGATACAGAGCTCCTATTCGAGAGGAATTTCCTACATAACCTCCGCTTTTTATTCACTTCTTTTTCAAATCCTGTGTCAGTCACTGGGTTCTGCCATTCAGTTTCTTCCGTGAAATAGGACAGTGGTCTCTGAGTAGAACGTGCAATAACTAATTAAACCAGTCCCAATCCTTGATTATGTCACCGGAAAAAGCTGGTTCCCAGTTTATGATGTTTAGTTCAGCTTTCGTTTTGGCAAAGTTACCGCGCCAAATGTTCCTTCTAACCCTGGTGGCTTGTTCGGACAGAGAAAAAGATGGAGTACTCCCACAACAGTACGACGATGGCGGCAATACAGTGCACGCAGTCTAGGTCGACTTTAAAAAAGCATTTGACAGTGTGTCACAGCAGTGTCTCCTGTATAAATTGAGCCGAACAGGCATTAGGGGTAATCTCCTGAGGTGGATTCAAAGCTTCTTGATCGGTCATTCTCAAATCGTCCGCGTCGTGACAGGCAGTCGGCGGGGGTAGCGGTTGAAAGCGGCGTTCCACAAGGCCCCGTCCTTGGCCCTCTTCTATTCATTATATGCGTCAACGACTGCGTCAGTGAATTGAATTGTGGTGTCGCCATGTTCGCTGATGATGTTAGACTTTGGAGCGTCATCCGAACTGAAATTGACGAAGTTGGACGCAAGTTGGACCAGAGTACCACTAAACGTCATAATGTCACCTGACCGATATCGTCTTAGCATTTCGCTCTAACAGTTTATTAATGTTTTTTAATTATTGTCCGCATTTCAGTAAGGTTTGTTTTTTATTATTGTCCCAGGTCCGTTGAATGCGAGTGTTGGCATTCAATTCAATTCGTCTCAGAAACTGAGATAGCACCAATTATCCATAGACAGACTGCTGTACAGCAAATTTAGTAACGTTAATGTTTTTAACACCTGGAACAATTCGTTTATCTGTCTGGTTTCGGAAACTTCGTCAATCTGAAAAAAACTTCTGTTGCTGTTGGATGTTTCCATTTTCAAATTTTTGACATAATTCACTTCCTTGTAACAAGTGGGGAGTTCAAAGATTCAAAACCTATGTTTCCCTCAAATAAACGGAAACTGAAATTGAATGGAGGCATCTGTCAGCTTGACGGAGCACAGAATGCTATGGATAAGGCAATGTCCCGTCCCCCCCTCCATCGCACATCCTCATCCTTCCCAATTCATTACACCGACCTCACTGCACTGGTTACTGAACCGTACTGGGTCAAGTTCATCTACAATGACGATGTCGTGGATCACTAACTACAGGACGACTACCCGTTTATCAGTCGCCATGACACCATATTGTGTAATGTCGCTACTCCCATTCAGCTCCCACACTCCTCCGCCAAACCCCCTTCATATTTCCTCGCAATCACTCCCAACCTGGGATCCTATCTACCAACACCACACTGGCGGTTGACCGGTTCGTTTGGCCCGACATACGGAAGAACGTGGCAACTTGGACACACACTTGAATCCGTTTCTATAGCAGCAACGTCTATCGACAAAACAGGGTCCCGACTGGTATTTTCTCCACTCATGACGTTCGCTGGACACTGAGCTCACATCTTCCTTCTAATGGCTGCACGCTCCTCCGTACTTGCGTCAACCAATCCACTCCTCAACTCGAAGTTATTTCACCCCTGCCAAATGTTCCTACAACGAACGTGGTCAAGGCGTTCTTCCGTTACGGGATGGCCAACTACGACGCCACATCCACCCATTATGACAGACCGTGCAGCCCACTTGAAATCTAACCTTCTCCAAACTCCTCTTGCATTTTAAGCTGCCACTGAACATGTACCCTTGCTTATCACCCGACTGCAGACGTGATGGTCAGGCGCTTTCATCGCCAACTGAAGTATCTACTGTGCGCCAGTGATGATAAGCAAAACTGCTCTGACCACCAACTAGACGCCCTCCTAACCGTCGGCTACTCATGCTTCCGACATCGCATTCATCTTTTGACGTCCTTTTATCGCCGGCCTTACATCTGGTCTGGAGTAAGGATGTTGTGGTCGTGCACTCCAGATGGCAATAGCGACCGAGAACCTCTTGTTAGCTGAATGCTAGCACCACGTATAGCTCAGCACTCCCCTTAGGAGGACTTGATACGTTGGTCTTCCCTGATTGACCGCGGCCAGACAGGTTCGGACTGCGCGCTCACAACGCACACTGACCCAACAACAACAACAACAACACCTGGGTTTAAAAATCTGCCGTCGTGCACCTCTCAGCTGCTCATACGCCACGCGTCGGAGCGAGGACCATCCTAGTAACTCTGGATCACTGACCTTTGATTTGGCAAACCCCTCGTTGTTGACATTCGTATCGCGAGGACAAGTTAACCTGACGCCTGCAAGCAAATAGGAGACCACACATCTGAACAAGCTTCCTCCCACCTAATTATTTCCCATACCCACACCCTCTTCACACACCGCATGTGGACAATAACATGCTGGCTAACTGCATACCTCTTGTACACTCTCGTTTTGTAGTAAAGGCTGTCTTCTTAACTCAGTCTCTCTGACTCTTGGCTTGAGAAACCTCTTATTGTCGACCATCGTACTTCGACAGGCTTCCCAACTGTCAAACGATGCCCATGTGAGGCGTGCGCCCAGACTCAGCCTGGATGGCAGCCAGACGTGCTAACGTGTGATGGTTGGGGTGAGGAAAGCCCTAGGAGCGGCGACGGTGCGGTTGTGACGAACAAAATCCTGCGCAGGAGTATAGGCGTTGAAGTTCGGGTGGATGAGTCTGGGGTATGCTCATCTGAGGCACGTGCGTAGGCTCGGACTGGTCGGCAGCCAGACATACAAATGCGTGACAATTGGGACAGGAGAACTAAGAGGGGGCCTGCGGTAGGGATGCGATATACAGCATCATGTGTCTGGGCATATGTGTTAAAGTTGGAGCAGATTGATTCGAGGCAATCGGTTAGGAGCTGCAAAATGAACTATCCACGTCGCTATCCGGGAGGGAAAGTTGGTGGGACTCCACAGAGGAAGGGATATCCCAGGCGGTAAGAATGGTGGTCCGATTCTGAGGACAGGACTGCCAGCAGTCGACCAAAAATAGAAG